GGGGCCCCGGGGGCCCCCAGGGGGCATCCCGTGGGGGCCCCTCCCCATGGGGCCCCCCATGCGGCCTGGCCCCAGCACAATGGGGGGGGAGTGCTGCTGCTGCCCCGGGGGGGCCCCCGGGGGCCCCAGGGGGCCCCCCGGGGAGGCCCCGGGGGGCCCCAGGGGGCCCCCCGGGGACATCCCCGGGGGAGGGGTATAGCCCTGCGAACTGGGGGAGGCCCCCATTGGGCTGCCGGGGTAGGGGGGCCCCCCGGGGCCCCCGGGGCCCCCGGGGGCCCCCGAAGGACCCCCCTGGGGGTGGGTACGGGGCCCGTCGGGGGCCCCTAGACCCGACTTGTCTCCTGTTAGTTCATCCATCATTCTGCGGTATTCCTGAAGAAGCAAAAGAAGAAAGTATTTCAACAAGAAATTGCATGCATGCATGCATGCATGCATGCATGCAGCAATTGAGGCTATGCATGCATGCATGCATGCATGCATTTGTCTCAATCGCTGCTTCAAAAAACAAAGTCGTGCATGCAGGACACCCCACAAACAGCAGCTACATATTGGGGTTTGCATAAATGGAAGGCAACTCGCTGCTGCTGCTGCTGCTGCTGCTGTTGTTGCTGCTGCTGCTGTTTCTGCTGCTGCTACTTCTACTACTACTTCTGCTGCCGCTGCTGCCACAGCTGCAGCTGCTACCACTACCACTGCTACTACTACTACTGTTGCTGCTGCTGCTGCTGCTGCTGCTGCTGCTGCGGCTCACCATGTCAATTCTGTAGCTGTCTGCGCCGCTGCGCATTGGCGGTCGCATGCCCATAGGCGGGGGAGGGGGGGGCCTCCCTCTTGCTGCTGCTGCTGCTGCTGTTCCTGCTGCTGCTGCTGCTCCGTCGCCCCGCCGCATTTTGCAGTCCATCGTCACGTGGCCCAGGTCCCCGCAAATGGCGCAGCGCTGCAGCAGCAAAATGCATGCAAAATGCATGCAAAACGCATGCAAAATGCATGCAAAACGCATGCAAAACGCATGCGAAACGCATGCAAGACCCCAAAATGGCCCAAAAGCGCATGCAGACGCAGACGTACAAACCCTAAACCCTAAACCCTAAACCCTAACATGTATGAAGTATCTGTGGAAGCTTGAAGCCTCTCCTGGAAGACGAAACGCAAGCACTGTTTAGAATTGACCTCAACTAAATAAATGCAGCAAAATAAAATAAATTGGAGTGATTAAATAATTAAACGTTAAAGAATGAAATAATTGCAAAATAAATAAAAGAAATAATAAACAAGAACTTAAAAGCCTCACGACTTCCGGGCGCTTGAAAGGCTGCAGGTCCCTATTGTCCGGACACTCGTGAGCTGTAGGTACACCCCAACCCCAAGCCCCAAACCCTAAACCCCAACCCCCAAACCCTAAACCCCAACCCCCAAACCCTAAACCCCAAGCCCCAAACCCTAAACCGCAACCCCCAAACCCTAAACCCCCAACCCTAAACCCCACAGCCCAAACCCCGACCCCACCCCACCCCACCCCACCCCCAACCCCCAAACCCCAACCCCCAACCCCCAAACCCTAAACCCTAAACCCTAAACCCCAGCGCACCGAGGTGGCCGAGGGCCTGGCAAAGGGCGCATCTGCGCTGGTCCAGCTCGCCGTAGTTCACGCCGTTGACGAGGGCCAGCTGCTCGAGGCCTCTTCTTTTGAACTCCTCGTGGGCGGGGTGGAGCGGGTCCAGCAGCGGCTCCACCAGCGCCACGGCGCGCTGTACGTACACCCCGCGCCGCTGCTGCTGCTGCTGCTGCTGCTGCTGCTGCTGCTGCTGCTGCGGGGGCGGGGACGCGGTTGGCGCGCGCCGCTGCGGCGGTCTGCCGCTGCTGCTGCGCGCGCTCTGGGGCTTAGGGCTTGGGGTTGGGGTTTAGGGTTTGGGGCGGGGTTTAGGGTTTGGGGGCGGGGTTTAGGGTTTGGGGTTTAGGGCTGGGGTTACCTCCACCGCCTCGTCTGTGTCTCCCATAATGTGGACGTGCATGGGCATGCTGGCCTCCTCGTCAGTTTGGTGATCTCTCTTTCCTTCTTTCTGTTCAGAAAAAACGAATTCAACGAATTCACCCATTCACGCCTTTTGAAACCCTTGCAAAACCTCTCAAAACCCTTGCAAAAACCCCTCAAAACCCCTTCAAAACCGCCTCAAAACCCTTTCAGAGCCACCTCAAAACCCTCTCAAAACCCTTTGAAAACCCTAAGCAGAAGCTAGGGCTTGGCGTTTAGATATTCTTTTATTTAGATTTACTTATTTTACTTTATTTTTGCAAACATTTTAAATGAAAACCTGCAAATGCGGCGCTGCAGCTTCTGCGGTGTATGTACACATTAGAAGCAAATGGAACAAAAACCAACAAGCTGCCAACAATAAATAATAAATAAATAAATAAATAAATAAAAGTTAAAAAGTTGAATCTGAATTCTGCAGAAGTGCTGAACCAAGTTGAATGCGGAAGCGCCGAAGAGTGCAAACAAGAGAATAGAGATTTGCAATTATGATTCAAACAACAAAACCAATTAAATCAAATAAATTAAATTTATTTAATTAAATTAATTAAATTAATTAATTAAACGCAAACAAACCTGAGTGCCTCTCCCTCGCACCGAAATCGTGCAGCCGCTCTCCGCCTCCAGCCGCTTGTGGTTGCAGCCGCGGGGGCCGATGATAATGCCCATGAAGTTGTAGTCTGGGTACTGCACAAACAAACAAACAAATAAATAAATAATAAATAAATAAATAAATAAATAAATAAATATAATAATGGTGGACCTGTAGTGGCGATTGCGGGGGAAAGATGGCGAATTGGTTGCGAAAGAAACGGTCAAAACGAGGCTGCTGCAGCTGCTGCTGGTGCTGCAGCAGCAGCAGCAGCAGCAGCGCAGCAACCCCGACCGAGGGTCCCGTCGTCAGCAGCAGCAGCGAAGCAGCAGCACCCCTGTCGCCCCTCTCAGCAGCAGCATCAGCACCAGCAGCAGCAACAGCAGCACCCCGTCCGCTTCTCATAAGCAGCAATAGCAGCAGCAGCAGCAACAGCAGCAGCAACACGAACAGCAGCAGCACCCCAGCAGCAGCAGCAGCACCGTCGCCAGCAGCAGCAGGACCCGCGCTCTCAGCAGCAGCAGCAGCAGCAGCAGCAGCAGGACCTTTTCGTGGGGGAACTCGATTCTGCGTATCTTCTTGGCGGGCCTGAAGTCGGGGGGCGCGACGAAACCCTTGAGGGAGCCGAGCATGAACTCGAGCAGGCTCTGCTGCTCCGCCAGCATGGCGGCCTTCGCGCGGGCCTCGCGGGTGTTGACGCGGCCGCCGTTTTTGTCGTAGACGGGCGCTGGAGAGGCCGGCCGGATGTCCGCGTCGCCGAGTTCGAGGCGACTTTGCTGCAGCTTTCTGGAGAGCTCTTCGAGGCGCTGTTCGCGCAGAAAGCGGTCCACCTGCAGCGGCGTCATGCCGATCGGCAGGTCCACGAACGGCGGCGGCAAAAACGGCTTGTCCTGCGCGGAAACGCCCGATCTCGCCCCCATTCACCTCCAAATTCAGTTTTTAATTCATTTTCCGCTTTTATTTCCACTTTCCTCCGCCCAAATCCGCGGATTCCCGCGCTTTCCGCCGCGCGCCCCGCGCGCCCCTCGGGTGTACGTGCACCCCAACTTGAACTTGCAACTTCCCACGCCAAACCCTCCAATTCAACCTTTTGCGTGCAAATTAACTCTTTTATTATTTCTTTTCACTTTAATTCGATATTTCCGAAACTTTCAACGAACTCGGCCCTTCAAACTCCACAAATCGATGCAGCTTCGACGCCCACAGGCACTGACACCGCCCAGTGGCCACAGACGCGCCAGGCAGTTCAAAATTACATTCACTAACATTCATTCAGGCTAATTAAATTAAATTCAAATTCACTAATTGCAACTAATTACAGCTAATTACAAGTAATTACAAGTAATTACAAGTAACTACATGTAATTACAAGTAATTACAAGTAATTACAAGTAATTACAAGTAACTACATGTAATTACAAGTAACTACATGTAATTACAAGTAACTGCATGTAATTACAAGTAAGTACAAGTAATCAAAAGTAATTACAATTAGTTGAGATTAAAAAGAATAATGAAAATGGAGGAATAATAATAAAATGAATCGGGAAAAAGGGGAAAAACGAGAACAAACGGCAACAAAGGAAAACAAACGACAACACAAAAGAGTAAAGAATAAAAACGAAATAAAAAATAAAAAACAAAAACTAAACAGAATAAAACTGAGAGATGGCAAAGAGCCCCAAAAGATATTAACACGCAATTAATGGCATAAATGGCATTAAAATGGCATTAAAATGGCACTAAAATGGCATTAAAATGGCGCCAAAGGGGCACTAAAATGGCAACAAGTAGCAGGAAAATGGCATTTGCACAGCATTAATGGCATTAACGTTATTAATGGCATAAATGGCATTAAAATGGCATTAAATGGCATTAAAATGGCATTAAATGGCATTAAAATGGCATTAAATGGCATTAAATGGCATTAAATGGCTACCGTTTCGGAGCCCCAGCGGCTGCCTTCTGCTGCTTTCTTTCTTTCCCAACGAGACTTCCGGCCTTTCTCTTTGTGGCTGAGCGCCGCCTCGAGCGGCACCAGCGCCATCAGCTGCTCCATCGACATCTTTGCTGCTGCTGCTGCTGCTGCTGCTGCTGCTGCTGCTGCGGGTGCTGCTGCTGCTGCTGCGGGTGCAGCGGCGCGGGAGACGCGGCGGAGGCGCGCGCAGCTCGGAGGGGGGCCCCAACTACCAGTGCTGCTGCGGCTGCTGCTGCTGCTGCTGCTGCTGCTGCTGCTGCTGCTGCTGCTGCTGCTAGGGCGGCGGGTGCTGCTGCTGCGGCCGCGGCGCAGCGGCTGCCCAGCTGGAGTGTACAGACAGCAGAAAGAAGAAGCAGCAGCAAAAAAGAAAAGCGAAAAGACGAAAGGAAAACCCCGAAAGAGCCCCTAGGGGCCCCTCACTGCAGCAGCAACAAACCCTCCCTTTGGTTGCTGAGGCGCTGCTGCTGCTGCTGCTGCAGCAGCCGGCGTTCGCAATTTCCTGAGTTTAGGAGCTTCTGAAAGCGAAGCAAAAAGAAAATGTCAAAAAGAAGAAACGGGAATTGCGGGAACTCGAAAAGGAGCCCCAGGGCCCCAGCAGCAGCAGCAGCAGCTGCTGCTGCTGCTGCTGCTGCTGCTCTTCCGCAGCAAACGGCGCCCGCGGGGGCACTCAGGAAGACCCTTTGGGGATTTTGCTGTGAAATAAAATACCATTTGGGGCCTCTTGAACGCAAGTGTGGCCCTGGGGGCCCCCCTTTCCTCTGCGAAGCTGCATGCAGCGAGTCCGTGGCGCTTTCGAGAGCTGCTGGCGGGAACTGGAGCTTTAAGTTCAAAAAGCTTTTCAAATTCTTTTTAATTTTAAAGAAATGTGACGCTCCAGGGTGGCGGTGGTTGGCGGCGGCGGCAGTTGGGGTGTACGTACAGCTCGGGCGGCGGCGCCGCGGGAAACCTCCGCGTCAGTGGCGGCCGATCTCGCCTCAAAACAATTCTTTTTGCCTCCCCGTTTTGTTTTTTGCAATTGAAATTGTTTTTTTCGTTCCAAAGGAGTCGATGGAGCGGCTCGAGGGCCCCGGGGAAGCCCCGGAGGAGGAACTTGAATTCCTCCGTTTCGGGTGTCTGCGCACCTTCCGCTGCGGCGCCAGCTCCGTCAACTCTCTCCTCTTCTTCGGAGACGCAGATCATCTTCTAGCTGGCGCTTCGGACAAAACTATTTACCTTTTGGGGGCGCAGCACGGAGTGCTGCATGAGTACAAAGGCAAGCAGCTCGCTGCTGCTGCTGCTGCTGCTGCTGCGCGTTGCTGCTGCAGCGGCAGGTTGCTGCTGCAGCTGCGCAGCAGCAGAGGGCCCCCTGCTGCAGCAGCAGGTCGCTGCTGCGGCTCTGCAGCAGCAGAGTGTCCCTTGCTGCTGCGGCTGCGCAGCAGCAGAGTGCCGCCCGCTGCAGCGGCAAGTTGCAGCAAGCTGCTGCTGCACTGCTTTTGTTTTGCTGTAGGAGAACACACGGGAGTTGTGGCCTGCGTTGGGGCCCATGATGAACTGACGCATCTTTTTCTTTCGGGAGGACTTGACAGAAGAGGTCAGTTGCGCGTTTAGGGTTTAGGGTTTAGGGTTTAGGGTTTAGGGTTTAGGGCTTGGGGGTTAGTTTTTGCTGCAGGTATTCTATGGGATGTGACCACTGGTCTCGCTCTTCGGCAGTTCCCGAGGACCGGTGAGTTTCAGCTGCTGCCACAGCAACACCTCTACAGCAGCACCAGCAGCAGCAGCAGTGCACTGCAGTGCACTGCAGCAAACAGCAGAAAAGGTAGCGAAAGGGTAGCGCCCAAGCCTTTCTTGTGGCGGTGGTGGACACCAGCAGCAGCAGCAGTAGCAGCAGCACCTGCTGCTGTTGCTGCTGCTGCTGCTGCTGTCTTTTCCTTTTTTTGCATTTCTCTCCAGTGAAGACCCAGTGGTGTTGCGCTATGCGGGCCACTGGCGCGCCCCCACTGCGCAGCCCCCAATCAAGCTGCTGCTGTTGCTGCTGCCGCTGCTGCTGCTGCTGCTGCTGCTGCTGCTGCTGTGCTGCAGCGCCGATAAACGCGTGCCTGCTGCGGGGCTCTCCGAGCCCGCTGAGCCACTTGGCAGCTCTGGGGGACTCCGACGGACTTGTGCGTCTTTTTGACATAAGGGGAGGGGGCCGTCGTTTCGGCTACGTGCAGGTGTTGTCGGACGCGAAAGACGCGATTTCGAGGTGGAATCCGCGCCATTTTCGAAGAATAAACCTTTAAATTAAACTTAATTGCATTTTGTTTCACTAATTTCCACTTTTTAGTCCAAAATTTCGAAGTTTCGACGCGAAATTCGCCAAAAAGTGCTTTCTGTCGAGCGGCGTGACGCCGCGGCAGTGGACGCGGAGGTGTACGTACACCGCAGATGCGCGCGTTCCGGTGCACCTCCGGCGGCCGTTTAGCCGCGCAAATTGAATATCACAACAATTTTTAAATCATTTTAATTATTGAAATTAGTTTTGAATTCGTTTTGCGTTTTTATTCTCTTCTGCAGCATCGTGGCCGCGCGAGAACGCCTCATCGTGGCTTCCCTCGACGGCTGCGTGTACACCTACGACCTGCGCAAGGGGGCTCTACATGTCGACTGCTACGGAAGTCCAATAACTTGGTGATTTTGATTCAAAATATCATTTGAGTATTGTTATTTTCATTTATTTGCATTTATTTGCATTTATTTGCATTTATTTGCATTTATTTGCACTTATTTGCACTTGTTTTCATCCATTTTTGCCTATTTTTGCATTTTTTTTCCATTTTTGCCTTCCCGCTGCTGCCGGCCAAACTCTCTGCAAACAGTCCAGTGTATCGGCACCTCGATCCAATTTGTGTCTTTTTTCTTTTCTCTTTTCTGGCCATTTTAGTTTCTGTTTTATTTCATGTAAGTCCATTTTATTATTTATTAAATTCCATCTTTTCCATAATTAAATGTTTTTGGTTTTCTTGCTTCTTTAGTCCTGTATAAGTCCCTCCTTCTCCTCCCCAAACCCTAAACCCTAGCGCCTCCATATTCCAATCCACCCATTAAATAACATGCATACATACATACATATGTATATATAAATAAGTATATATATATCTACAAGTATATATAAGAAGCACATATATATTAAATATAAATAAAAGTACGTGTTGAAGTGGGGTTTGTTGCGCTTCGCGTGCTGCTGCTGCTGCTGCTGCTGCTGCTGCAGCATGTCGCTGTCTGCGGAGGAGACTTTGCTGCTGCTGTCCTGCGTGGACGCGAGCCTGCGGCTGGCAGAAGTGACCTCGGGGGAAACTCTGCATGCGTTTTGGGGCCACTTGCATTCTTCTTGTGGGGCTTTTCGCATGCAAAGTTGCTTCTTTGCTGCTGCTCTCCCGCTGCCGCCTCCGGGCGCTGCAGCGGGGCTGTTTGCTGCAGCAGCAGCAGCAGCGCCGGACCCCGACTCGCCCCTCCAGCTCCACCTACAGCAGCAGCAGCAGCAGCAGCAGCAGCCTAAAAGGGCCTTCGATGAACTCCTCGAGGCCCTTCAAAACTCTAAATTTAAATCCAAAGGCAACTCTCTCCAGCCCCTCTTCCCTTACGTCGTTAGCGGCAGCGAAGACGGCTGCATATATTTCTGGGACGTCTTAGCAGCAGCAAGGGGGGGGCCCCCCGGGGGGCCCCCCGAGGGGCCCCCCGGGGGGCCCCCCGACTCCTGGGGGCCCCCCGGGGGCCCCCAGGGGGCCCCCCGCTTCCTGGGGGCCCTTCAAGAAGGGGTCCATGGAAAAGCCCATGAGGCCCCGGCACTTGTAGTCAAAAGCGATTTGCTGTCGCAGCGGCTGTGCACAGCAGCAACAGATGGCACAGTGAAATTGTGGCGGCAGCTCTGATTGCTGCTGCTGCTGCTGCTGCTGCTGATGCAGCAGCAGAAAAGGCAGAGAAAGCAGCAGCAGCAGCTCCCACTGGGGCTGGAGAAGACTGCTGCGTCTGGAACCAACGCAGTTAAAGACAAAAAGCTTCCCATTTAGGGGAACTGCGCAGGCCTGCGGGCCTGCTGCCGACGTTTTTAAGCGAACTTTTTCGGAATGCAACGAATTAGTCTTTTTAATTCATTAAGTTAATCTTTTTAATTCGTTGAAATAATCTTTTTAATTCAATTTATGAAGAGAAAAGGACCTTCTAAAGCCCAGATGGCCCGGTTTCAGCTGCGGGGGCCCCAGGTAGAAGCTGCACAGACACCCCAAGCTGCACACTGCTGGTGATTCAGATCTCATGTTGAATTTGAGTCGAATTGGAACTTTTTGTGCAGAAAAGGCTTCTGGAAAGTTCTTACTTTGAATTTAAAAGTTAATTAGAAGCTAAAAAACTGAAAATGGCATTTAATTTGCTGCATCGCTCCAAATGAGCGTTTCGAGCGTTGAGGTTTGCAGGTGATACCACCGATTGAGAGGATATGACGGAAACTCGGGAAAGAAGGCATTTAATTGTATTGTTATTCATTTATACTGAAAGTATTTATTTAAATGAAGTAACTATTTATTTCAAATGAATAAAAACTGGAAAAGTGGGTTTCCTCTGCGGCATGAAATCGAATGAGTGCTCGCGCAGAAGAGCGCTCGCGCAGCAGCTTCTGGAAGCCTCGTTTCCGCAGGCTTGGCCTGTAAATGCAAATGTGAACAAAATATGAAAGTCTTTTGAATTGAAATTTAATTTAATTTGAATCATATTTATTTTAAAATCAAAATGTAGCTCAAAGGAAGCTTTCTGAGGAAAGATCCTCTTGCTGCTGATGGCTGGTCAGCGGCGGCCGCCGCCGACTTGTGCCTTGTGCTGCTGCGCCTCACTCGGGATACACTGCAGCATTTTGGATCTTTTATCTTTTAAAATATGAATATTTATTTATGATTTATAAATATTAAATGAATATTTGCTTAGAGTTTTCTATTTCAGAGTTTTCAGCCTTCTTCTCGGCGGAATGGCCAGCAAGCCGCGCACGCCGCAGAGCCCTCTCGTGCGATCTTCGCTCAAAGACAGAAATAAAAAGCCCTTTTAAAGAAAAAAGCAAAACTTATGTCAACTAAACTTTACTGCTTTTATTTAAACAACTTTTTTCTCCTTTTTAACCGGATTTAAACGCCAGATCGCCTCACTTGAACGGCCTCGCCGCTGTGCTCGGTGACTCCCACGCACAGCTGCAGCTGGATGATCTGTGCTTTGCTGCCTTTGAAAAGAAACAAAATTCAGCAAATTGAAATTTCAAAAATACTTTTAAAACAAAAACTCGACCGAATTAGGGGATTTAAACGCCGGATCGCGCGTGTCTTCTGTCGTGAACCAGCAGCAGCAGCAGCAGAAGCAACAGCAGCAGAAGCAACAACAATAACACCAGCAACAGCAACAGCAGCAGCAGAAACAGCAGCAGCAGCAGCGGCAGATTTTATTCGTTTTGAGCAGCTAATTATGGGCCATGAGTTTGCTGTCGCAGTATTGGCTCTATGAGCCGAGTTGGGACCTTCAGGCCCTCTCGGCCTCCATGAGGGCCCTGCCAGCGGAGCAGCAGTTTAAGCTGCTGCTGCAGCAGCAGCAGCAGCAACAGCAGCAGCAGCAGCAGCAGCTGCGGCTGCCCTCTGCAGCACGACTGCGCAGCCTCCGAGCAGCAGCAGTGACAGCTTCTGTCATTTCCGTTTTGCTTTCCCTTGTGCGTCTTTACCTGCGCTGCTTCAGTGCTGCTGTGCCTGCCCTGTGTGCTGCCTGCACGCTGCTGCTGCTGCACAGCAGCAGCAGCAGCAGCAGCAGCAGCAAGAGATTTGCAGCAGCAAAAACCGATAAGGGTCGCCTCGTGGCTCTGGCTGGGGCTTGGGCTGTGTCTGCATTTTTGGACTTTATCGCAGCTTGCGACTATGTGCTGATTCCGGGTTCGCTGCAGCAGCAGCAGCTGCTGCTGCTGCTGCAGCAGCAGCAGCTACTGCTGCTGCTGCTGCCGCTCGCCTGCGTCTCCTTCAGCCTTTCTGCTGCTGCTGCTTCCCTCTGCTGCCTCCTTAGCTGCTGCTCTTTTATTCCTTTTAAAAACAATTTCGGCGAAGCTCAAAAAGAAGAAAAAGCTCCTCTTGTTGCTGTTGCAGTGCAGGGGGCCCTTGAGGACTGCGAAGAGCTGAGCCCCCCAGCAGCAGTAGCAGCAGCAGCAGCAGCAGCAGCTGCAGCTGGTGGGGCTTTTGTGGGCGTCCAGAGCTCGCCAGAAAGTCCTTTTAATTGTGAATCAGGTGTACGTACACCTCGGGTTTGCAGTTCAGATTTCTGCAGCGAAGAAGAAGATGGGCTTCCTGTGGTTGCTGCTGCTGGCTGCCGCGGAGGCAGCAGCAGCAGCAGCATTGAGGAAGCAGCAGCAGCAGCAGCCGCTGCTGCTGCGGAGTTTTCTTCCTGCTTCAATTCTGATAACGAAATGGACTAGTACAGTGGAGCAAAATAAGACTTCGGCAGCAGCAGCAGCAGCAGAAGCAGCAGCAGCAACAGCAGCAGGAAAGGAAGCAGCAGCGAGCAGCAGCAGCACCATTCCTCCCCGAAAAGTGCCACAGTGAAGATAGAAATATCAAAAGCAGCAGCCACTAACAAGGATCCCTTGCAGCAGCAGCAGCAGTAACAGCAGCAGACACAGAAACAACAGCAGCAGCAGCAGCAACAGCAACAATAAAAACAGACGCAGCAGCAACAGTGGCAGCTGCAACAGCAGCAGCTGCAGCAGCAGGAATGGGTTTGCTGCGTAACTGCGCGTAGCAGATGAACTCCACTACTTTATTCGTTTTATTTTTATCAAGTATATATTTTAAAAAAGAGAAAAGCAGAAAGAGCAGCAAAATTGGTTCTGAGGAGAGTGCATTCGGGTGTCATTGCAGCAGCATTCGCGTGGCGTCCACGTGTACATACACTGGAACGTATCCGGTCGATTCCATCCATTCTTTTACAATAAATATAAAACAAATCAAAAATATTAATTAAAAATATATGTGTGGTTATATTTGAGGACAAAGTGCACTCTTTGGCTTCCTTTCTAGCCACGCCACGCAGACACCTCGAGGTGTATGTACAGCTCCGCCGGTGCTCCAGCAGCAGCTACTCGGGGACAAAGACAAGTTTTAAACTGATTAAATGTATTTATTTTAGTGAAGTTGTTTAATTTATTCATTTGAAGTTCGAAACTAAATTTGAAATCCCCATAAATGCCGCTCAGTCGCGAGCGGAGCCTCGTCAGCTGTACGTACACTGGGTGTCTTGTTCGTTTTTCCGTGTTTTAAAAACCATTCTCACTTTAATTGTGATTTTTAATTAACCAAAAATCAAATTAAAAGAAGTAATATGCTTTTAATTGCGACAGGCAGGGAGACAGAGCTCACTAGACTCCTGTCTGTATAGTTCCTGCTGAGTACAGCAGCAGCAGCAAAAACAGCAGCAGCAGCGACAGTTCCAGTTCAGCTTTCTAACCTGATGAAGGCCCTTACTTGAAGTCAAATGAAAGAACTAATTGAAGAATAAAAGTAGATAAATGAAAAAGTAAACATTTATATATGTATTTATGCATATGTATTTTGAAAATAAATAAATAAAGAGCAGTTTCAAGGATCAAAAGAAGAGCAGGTCTCTTCTCTTGAGGTGTACGTACACCTCACGGTGTACGTACAGCTCGCGGTGTACGTACACCTCAAGAGAGGTTATCTCCTCTTCGGGAGTTTTCTCTGTTGGTTTGGGCTCATTTTGGGGTCTATTTGGGCCGTTTAAATGGTTTTAATTGTCATTTTTTGTTTCATTTCGTTTCATTTCGTTTTATTTCGTTTTATTTTTCATTTATTTCTTAAAATCCCGAAAACGAAGACTAAATCCCTTCACGTCCTCCGCCGCAGAAACGCTCTCCGGCACTTCGCGGCCCAGCCACAAGTCCAGCCAAGAAGTGGCCATCAGCAGCTGCTCTTCTGTCAGCTGCAAACAAATTAAATAAATAAGCAATAAATAATAATAAATAAATAATAATAAATAATAATAAAATATAATAGATAGAAAATAAATAAAATATAAACATAAACTTGTTCATTGGTGGACTGGCTGCAGTAAGGGGGCCCACACAAACGGGCAAGCAAAAAAACGGAAACAAATAAATAAACAACAAAATAATAAATGATAAATTTTAAACAATTAAAAATAAATAACAAACAATTAAAAACAAATAATAAACAATTAAAAATGAATAATAGACAACTAAAAATAAATGATAAACAATTAAAAACAAATCATAAGCAATTAAAAGTAAATGATGAACAATTAAAAGTAAATAATAAACAATTAAAAGAAAATAACAAACAGTTAAAATAAACAAATGAATAATAAACCAGCAGCACCAAAAAAGAAAAACTGAAAGAGGAAAAAATAGAAAATTAAAATGCAACAACAAAACGTCGAGGTGTATATACACCCGGGGACAAAGAAGACCCCAAGACACCCAAAAGACAAAAAGCAAATTAAAAAATTAACGAAAACGAAATAATAAAAACGAACAAATTATAAACCAACAACAAAGCGGAGCAGCAGCAGCAGCAGCAGCAGCAGCAGCAGCAGCACGTGGGAGGCCAGCCTGCGGTGCCGCAAAGTAAGAATTTAAATTTATTTTAAAGTATTTTTAAAGACGAATAAAAGACTAATTTTAAATCCCAGCTAAAGAACTAATTTAATCTAAATTATATCCTAAAGAATGAATTAAATTGGTTAAAATATATTTTTAAATTATTTAAATTAAATAAATTCTCACCAACTCTGCAGCGGCCCCTTCTGCGGCCCTCGGGGGCTCAGCTGTATCTACCCAGTGGTCTTTGGCCCTCAGCTGCAGCCGCAGCAGCTGCTCGAATGCAGCAGCAGCAGCAGCAGGAGATTCTTCTCCCGCTGCAGCAGCAGCAGCAGCAGGAGATTCTTCTCCCGCTGCAGCAGCAGCAGCAGGAGATTCTTCTCCCGCTGCAGCAGCAGCAGCAGGCCCACCGGGCGCCTCAGCCCCCGCAGCTGCACCCGCAGAAGGCGCAACCGCTGCTGCTGCTGCTGCTGCTGCTGCTGCTGGGGTGTCTGTACACCCCACGGCCGCAGGGCGGGAGGCCCTGCCCCCAAAAAGAGCCAAAGTGGGGGCTTTTAAATTTGCTGCTACAGCCAGCATATTAAACTGATGAGGAAATAAAGCAACAGCAGCATCTACAGAAGGAAGGGCAAAAAGGGGCCCCGGGGGCCCCTGGGGGCCCCCTGGGGGCTCCTGGGGGCCCCCTGGGGGCCCCCCGCGTTGGGCTGTACGTACACCTGGGCGCGCAGCAGCTCCAGCAGCAGCAGCAGCAGCGGCGTCAGCAGCAGCAGGGACCAATGATACTGCAGCACGGGCACCCGGGGCTACTGCAGCAGCAAATTCAAGAGCTGCTGCTGCTCCTCCGCCCACCCCAACGACAGCAAATGCTGCTGCTGCTTCCTGCAGCCGCAGCCACAGCAGCGCCCGGGCCACAAGCCCGTGAATGCCCAGCTGCTGGCCAGCAGCAGCAGCAGCTGCTGCTGCTGCTGCGGCTGCTGCTGCTGGTGCTGTTGCTGCTGCGGGAGTCCTCGCAGCAGCGCTCGCGCCAGAGCCTGCTGCTCCCGCTGCTTCTCCCCCTGCTGCTGCTGCTGCTGCTGCTGCTGGCAGCTCTGGCACCAACACAGCAGCGCCGCAGCTGAGGGCAATGCGGTCGGCGATGTGCCGCACACGGGCATCCCTGCAAAGGAATAAACAGCAAATAAATAAATAAATTAATAAATAATAAATAATAAATAAACAAATAAATAAGGGTAATAAATTAATTAATTAATTGAAAGAATCAATCGGCCCTTCAGAGTTCAATTTGCACTTCTGGAGAAGACCGCAGCCGAAGGCGCCGCTCCCTCTTGCTGCTGCTTTCTTTTAATTTCTTTTTTGTTTTATTTACTTTTCCAATTTTATTTATTTGAAAATTAATTTAATTAAATAAATATTTAATTTAATTTAATATCTAAATATTTAAAAGGCAAAAACTCGGCGAAGTCTTCGCCAGGCGACTACAGGCGCGAAAATGAGGTGTACATACACCTGAATATGATTCAACTTCGCGGGCACAGATGCAGATATATTTCTAAATATATATGTTTATATTTAATTATTTAATTAATATATCTAAATATAATTAATATATTTAAGATATTTAAATAATATACTTATACTTAAATGCATTTAAAACATTTTAATACATTTGTAGGGCGAAAGAAAAGCACCTGGGTTTGAGCTCTCCGGCGAGCAGAATAACAATTCTGTTTTTCTCTTTTAATTCATTTAATTCATTTAATTCATTTAATTTATTTATTTCATTTATTTCTTTTATTTCATTTATTTCTTTTCTTTCTTTTGTCTCCAATGCAAAAGATGATAAACTGCTGCGGCAGTAATAAGCAGCCCCCAGCAGCCCTGGGGGCTTCTTGCCCTCAAGAAGGCTGAAAAGAGTGAGAGGCGAAGCATCTGCTGCTGCTGCTGCTGCTGTTGCTGCTGCTGTTGCTGCTGTTGTTGTTGCTGCTGCTGCTGCTGTTGCTGCTGATTTTGCTGCTGCTGCTTGTGCTCCTGCTGCTGCGGGAGCAGCAACGCCGCGAAGGGCCGCAGCAATGCCACCGTCAGGAGCTGCAGCACCGAAATCAGCAGCAGCAGCAGCAGCAGCAGCAGGTGCTGCTTCCTGCTGCAGTAGGCAATAGGTCGTCTTCAGGTCAGCCAGCAACTGCGAAATGCTGTAAAGCTGCCTCTTAATCACAGGGGGCTCGGCTGCTGCAGCAGCAGCACCCGTGAACACCGGCGCAGCAGCAGCAGCAGCAGCAGCAGCAGTAGCAGCAGGAGTGGCAGCTGCGAGGGGCAGCAGCCTCGTCTTTGCTGCCTCGACCTCGTCATCCGTCAGCACTTGTGGAAAATAAATTATTTCTCTTCCTAATTGGTCTTGCAGCTTCACCCACTCCTCCTCTGAGGGGCCCCCCTGGCCCAGGGGGGCCCCCCCTCCGTGGGGGGCCCCCCCAACGGGGGGCCCCCAGGCGGCCCCCTCTGCCTCAGCAAGTTCAGTCAAAGAGTACTGTTCTCCATCCCAAGAGAAGCGCCGGGAAGGGGGCCTCGAATGGTCCAAAAAAGGGGGAAAAGTGGGGCCCCTGGGGCCCCCCGAGGAGGCCCAGACCCTCCGGGGGGCCCCCCTGTGGGGGGCCCCCCTGCTGGGGGGCCCCCCCCGGGGGGACCCCTCGCTGGGGGGCCCCCCTGGGAATACGGAAATGGCTTCTGCTTGCTGCTTGAGCTGCTTCAACTTCGCAATGAGCCTTTCTTTGTGCCAATTATAAGAAAATGGGGCCCCCAGGTAGCCGGAGGGCCCCCCGAGGGGCCCCCCGGGGCCCCCGGGGGCCCCCGAACCCTCTAGGGCCTCCAATTCTAAGTCTAGGAAGTCCCGTAGGGAGCGCCCCAGAGAGGCTGTGTCTGCTGCTGCTGCTGCTTGCGGGGCCAGGCCTGCTGCCTGCAGCAGCAGCGACAAGTCTGCTGCTGTCATCTGGTGCAGCGCTGCATGCAGAGCCAGTTGAGTGTCTGCTGCTGCAGCAGCAGGGTCTGTTGCTGCTGCAGCAGGGGCTGCTGCTGCTGCAGCAGGGTCACCTTCATCTCCAGGTGTACGTACACCGCAGTCGCTGCCCAGGGCTGTCGAGCTGCCCTCGAGTTTAAATAAAAAAGAAAAATAATTTTGGTTAAGGGGAGTGTGCGGCTTTGGCCTACTAAAGCTCAAAGAACTGCTGCTGCTGCTGCTGCTGCAGCTGCTGCCGCTGCTGCTGCTGCTGCGCCAGCAGACCGCACGGGGAGAAAGGCGGTAAGAGGCCCCAAAATGGAGAGAAATGGGAAACAAAAAACATAAAATAAGAAAAAAGAAATGCAGCAAAGTGGGCCTGAGCCGCGTACACTCGAACTTGCTCCTGCAAGGCATGTCCAGCAAGCTCTACATCCTCTCGAGCAGAAAAATGCAAAATAACAAAAAATTTGGAACTAATCAATTCTTTAAATTCAAAAAAGCCCCAAAAGACGAGTTAAAAACAATAATAACTAAACAGGGTCCACTTTAGGAGCCCCTGCCTTGCCGCAGGGGGCCCCCCAGGGGCCCCCCCGGGGCCCCACCGCCCAACTCTTTGTGTGGCTGACTTCGCGCGGCGGGCTGGTCACAGATCTTCGGAAAAATTGGAATTAAAACCAGATTTAAATTGAAATTATTCCTTTAAATTTGTCATTTGAGTTATGTTTCTCATTTATTTACCGGCCATTCGGGTTTATTTCCCTGTTTTCCCCGCTTGCTTCGCTGCAGCTGGCGGTGCAGCCGTCTCGATTCAGCTTCGCGATTCTCCCCCAAAACTTTTGAATTTTTGCAATTAAACAATTTAAACTTGTATTTATCTTCATTTAACGTCCCTTTTCCTCCAGGATCAGCTCTAAACATGGCGCTTTCTTCCCGAATACCGATTCTTCCCTCAGCGGTTTCCACCGCCTTTCTGCTCATGATTGCGGCGCTCTTGTCGGCCTCTCCAGCCTCAACACTGAAATTCAACAACAAAGAAGTTTCAAATAAGAGCTTTAAAGGTAAATTTCAAAATTAAAATTGGAAAAAGCCTTCGGGCTTCGCCGATTCAGGGGCTGCTGCCGACGGCTGCGCTGCTGCTGCGCATGTCCAGAAGCAGCAGCAAAACGCGGCGTTGGTCTCATTTAAAGCTGAAAACTTGAATTAAAATAAAAATTAAAATTAACTAATTCTTTTTTGGATCTTTTTGACGCAGATTTAACCCCAGATCCGCTGCTGCATGCGCCGCCACTCCACTTCGTGCAAGAACCAGATCAGAAACTTGCAAAGAGTTTCCTTTCTTTTCCGCGGACTCCAGAAACTCCCAAAGAAGAACTTGACGAAATTAAATTCCTTTTTGACCCCCCGAGTAATAAATTATCCACAAAAGACACGCCGCTGCGGTTTAGGGTTTAGGGTTTAGGGTTTAGGGTTTTGCTGCTGGAGCGCTGTTTGTGAACTTTTGCTGCTGCCTCATTTTTAGGCCCTCCAAACAAATCAAAGAAAGTCATTTGGGCTGTTGTTGCTGACGTGGCGGCGCTGCTCTTCATTGCTGTTTCAATTCCCTTCATTTCCTACTTGGTAAGAAGCTCTGGCTAGCTGCAGCTAGCTGTGGCTAGCTGTGGCTAGCTGTGAAGCGATACGGCTAGCTGTGGCCAGCTGTGGCCAGCTGTGGCTAGCTGTGGCTAGCGGTGGCTAGCTGTAGCTAGCTGTGACTCGAAATGGCTAGATGTGGCCAGCGGTAGCTAGCTGTAGCCAGCTGTAGCTAGCCGTAGCTAGCTGTAGTTAGCTGTAGCTAGCTGTAGCTAGCCGCAGCTAGCTGTAGCTAGCTGTAGCTAGCTGTAGCTAGCTGAGGTTGGGGAGTTATTAAATTCCTTTGATTAATTTTTGTCTCTTCAGGCGGGGGGAAGGCGGTGGAAGGTCTGCAGCAGAGGCAGCAAATGGTATTTTTGGTTTTTTTTTGAAAAATAAAAGCTGGAAAAAATGAATGTTTCCGAATTGCAAAGTTCTACAAATATAAATGTATTTTAAGGCACTAAAAGCCGCATTTAAGTATTCCTTTTTTTCCAGTTTTGAGATTAAAAGACTCAAATTGCATTTTTCCGAAAGTTGAATTTTGCGAGTTTTGCGACCTTCAGATTTCAGTGCAGCAGAGCTCGCTGCAGCGAAAGCAAAAGCCGCCGCCGCTTTCCCTTTTTCTTTTTTAATTTCGAAGCAGCTTTTTGATTTCCTTTGAAGTTCTAATATTCAATTAAAGCAAAGAAGAGTGGTCCGCTTCTGCTGTGGTCCACTGGTCACGCTGCTGCTGCGGGGCAACGCAGCCCCGCGAGTCCGCGGAAATGGCCCTTTCTTTCTTTCTCTAGATCAAAAGGGAATTTTATTTTCCAATTTTAATTCTTCAGAGCAAATGCAAAACGAGTGGCGCTGCTTTGGCTTGGAGCGGCGGCTCGCGGGAAGTTGAATTCAGAAAGTTGAATTCCCCGTCCAGCGCGTTTTTAACTGAAATTCCTCCTTGCAAACTCCGAATAAAAGCTTTTTCCTTTTTTTCTGTTTTAATTAACCATTTTATTCCGCTTAATCGCTTCAGAAAGCGCAGTTCCTCCGAGCTTTTAGGGTTCGCCTTCCCTCCGGTGCAGCGGGCGCGATGTGCTCTGGGGTGTACAGACAGCGCAGCGTGACGCACGAAAAGGATCGGCGGCTTGCGAAGTGGGGTTGTGGTGAAACACCTCCAAAGAAAGGAGATATCATTTATATCATTTTATGAATTCGTTTATTTTTGCATTTATGGGCGCGCTGTAGAGCTGGAGCTCCCGCCGGAAGCCGCCAGATCGCCCAAGTGCCTCGGTGATAATGCCTGGCCACTCTGCAGCCTGCGGGTTTTCCACGCCTCCGCGGAACCTGCTGGAGTGAGGGTTTTTGTTTGTTTCGGAGTTTCGAAGTGCAATTTATGAAATGCAACTTAGTTTTTTTTTCCTTTTTGCAACTTGAATTCCACGGACTCCCAGATACTCCCGCAGCGGCGATCTGCTCGAACGCCTCGCCCTCCGCCCCTTCTGCTTCCGCAGCTTTCAGCTGCTGATGAATTCCCGCTGCCTCATCACTCGGGGCTCTTTGCTGTCACCTTCCGACGTGCGTTTGCTGCAGTAAGTGGAGAAGAAAAGAAAAGAAAAAGAAACAAATCGCGTTTTCAAAATCTTTTCTTCAACTCCTAAATGCCTCCCGCAGACTCCTCGAAGACTCCACTCGCCTCATGCTCGCCTACGGCGCCTCGCCAGCAGAAACTATTCAAGTCATGGCCGGTAAATTCATTTTCGTTTTATTTTTTCATCTTCCAATTTTTCATTTTTCAAACTTTTCAACTTTTCAAACTTTTCAACTTTTCAAACATTTCAACTTTTCAACTTTTCTTGCTTTCAACTTTTCTTGTTTCCTTATTTTTGGCTCTTCTTCTTCTCCTCTTTTTCTACTTCCAACTCTTCTCCTTCTTCGACTTCTATTCTTCTTTTCTTCTTTTCCTTTTTGCTTTTCTTCTATTCTTCTTTTTAAATTTGTTTTCTTTTATTTTTATTTAAAAAACTTTTATTTTTCAACTTTAAGTTTTTAAAGCTTTTTATTTTTCAATTTTATTTCCAGAGTGCACTTGCCTGGTGGACAAGTTGGTTCTTTCTCCTCACCGGACTCAGTTATTTGACGAGCAGGTGCATTTAATTCATTAAATTAAATTAAATTGATTAAATTAATTAAATTAATTAAATTAAATTAAAACAATTAAATTAAGCCGAATTAGATTAAATTGAATTATTCAACTTTTCAGAACTTGAATTCATTTGCTGCTGCTTCAGGAATGGATCCACGTGATTATGATTTGCGTCATGGTCGCCTTCCTAAGTGTCAAGAAAGTGCCGCGTGAGCAAACCAGCAGCAGCAGCAGCAGCAGCAGCAGCAGCAGCGGGAGTTTGAATGGGGTTTGTTCAGAGTGCGGGAGCCAAGCTTTGAAGCAAAAGTGGCACGAAGTGTTGTTTGCAACTTACTGTTCTTTTGGAGAACTCGACGAAGCAGTTCGAGCGGTAAATAAATAAAAATGATTTTCGTTTCCAAGCGCATGCAGCTCACCCGCTGAGGTGTACGTACACCCCACTCCAGGTCCTCATTCTCCTCAACCACGACACAAAAGTTTCTCCCACTTTCGTCAAAGTCAAAAAGGCTCTTTTGCTCGCCTCGACTTTCTTTTCAAAAAAGAAATAAATGTAGAAGAAACAAATAAAAGAAATGAATAAAATGAAATAAATATCAAAAAATTCTTTAAAAACAATTCCTCGCCAACCGCTGCCAAACGCCCCAGCTGTACAGACACCCGGGCTGGCAGCAGCAGCAGCAGCAGCAGCAGCAGTAGCAGCGGCAGCATGCAAACGTAAAAATCTAGCAGCAGCAGCAGCAGCAGCAGGAGGAAAATCAGTTGGCGCAGCTGAAAAACGATGAAGGGCTGCAGCCAGAGGCACATGGAGAAAGGCAGTCAGCAGCAGCTGCTGCTGCTGCTGCGTTCCCTTCATCTTGCTGCTGCAGGTCTCCTGCTGCTGCTCCGTATTGGCTATCGAGCCATGGCGAATGGTCTGTGCAATAAACAGCAGCAGCAGCAGCAGCAGCAGCAGCAGTGTCTGTGCACCTCAATCAGGCTGCCCCTTGTAAACAAACCATTTATTTCTCCAACAAAAATTGCTGCTTTTGCTGCTGCTGCTGCCGCTGCTGCTGCCGACGAGCTCACCTTGCTGCTGCTGCAAAGACCTTTCAGCCCAAGGATCGCTTTCCCCGTACGGGGGGGTGCTTCCGCGCGCATAGTCCGGCCCCACATGCTGCTGCAGGTGCTGCTGCTGCTGCTGCTGCAGCTGCTGCTGCTGCTGCTGCAGCAGCTGGTGCTGCAGCAGCGGGCGGGACTGGTGGCTGGTGTGGGTGACGAGGTAAGGCGCAGCAACTGGCACTTGCTGCTGCTGCGTGTGGGGCCCCACATTAAAAACAGCAGCAACTTTTGGCTGCAGCAGCAGCGGCAGCAAATTGTCTCTGTAGCGGTTCACGAAGTATGGCTGCTCCACCACCTTCACTCTGCGGCAGCAAAATAATTTAAATTAATTAATTTAATTAATTAAATTAATTAAATTAATTAAATTAATTTAATTAATTTCATTAATTTAGTTAATTTCATTAATTTAATTTGTTCAATTTAATTTAACCGAGTTTGATTTGATTTGATTTAATTTAATTTAATTTAATTTAATTTAGTTTAGGTAATAAAATGATAATAAGAGTGGCAGGTGATGGCAATAGCAGCAGCAAGAATGCAACAGTAAGACTGGCAATAATCATGGTAAGTAACTATAGCAGTGATAATAATAAACTAATATAATGATAATAATGATAATAATAATAATAATAATAATAATAATAATAGTAATAGTAATAATAATAGCAACAGTAATAATAATAATAAATAGTAATAGTACTAATAATAATAATAATAATAGTAACAATCATAATAATATTAATAGTAATAATGATAATAATAATATAATAACAATAATAAGAATAATAGTAATAATAGTAATGATGCTAAAAACAATAGTAATAATCGATTATTATAATAAATAATAATGCTAGTGAAAGTTAGTAATAATTAGTAATAATAATCACAATAGTTCATAACAATAGTAATAATAACAATAATAATTCGCAATAATAATAATAGTAATAATAGTGATAATAAATAATAATGATAATAATAATAATAATAGTAATAATAATAATAATAGTAGTGATACTAATAATAATAGTAATAATAATAATCGTAATAGTAATAATAATACTAATAATAATAATAATAATAATAACCGCTTTCTTAATGCAGGCAAGTTGTGGAAAAGTAATTAAATAATTGAAACAAATAATTAAGACGAATAATTAAGTAATTAAAGTACTAAAGGTGAACAAATAATAAATAATAAAAAAGCAGACAAATACATCATAAATAAGCAAAATAGAAAATAAAAATAAATTTAAAATAAATAAAGAAAATAAAAGCGTAATGAACCCAATTGATGAAAATGAATGATTTTAAAATAAATGAAAAGATGAATAAAACGAAATAATAAAACTAAATGAAAAGTAAATGAAATACATAATTGAAGTAAGTAAAGAAAATTAAAAAACAAACAAGAAAAATAAAAGAAGAATGTGAAAAAGATATTTTACAATAAGTAGACAAAGTTGCAATTTAAGTTCAAAATGAATTATTTTCTAATTCCCCTTTTAGTTATTTTTCATTTAGCTTTATTCTAATTTAGTTATTCTAATTTATTTAATTCAATTTATGTTCTTTATTCTAATTAATTTATTTCAATTTAGTTTATTTATTTCAATTTATTTATTCATTTTAAATAATTTGTTTGAATTTATTTATTGATTCTAATTTAGTTGCTTTAATTTGGATTTTAATTTTACTTTATTTATATATATTTGCATTTAGTTGTTTGTTGCCTTTATTTATTATTACGAGCCATTTATAATAATTAATTTATTTAGCCAATTATTTATTTATTTATTTCAACCATTTATAAAAATTAAACAATTTTAATTGCAACCCATTCCAATTATAATTAATCGTTAGTTATTTATTTATTTACTCGTTAATTCCAATAAATTATTTAATTCATTCATTCACTCAAATTTATTTATTTATTTTAATTTAGTTATATATTCTAATTAATTAAGTAATTAATTAATTAATTAATTAATTAATTACTCCGAACTGGGTGCGCGGAGTTGCGGTGTACGTCCACCTTCCGCGGCAAGGCTGTGGGGCGTGGGGTGTACGTACACCCGAACTTGTGCAAGTCCAGGTGTATGTACACCCCGGAGTTTGCGATTTATTTTTATTCTTTTAGTTGAAGACCTACACTTGTTGTTCAAAGGGAAGAGGAATATTAATGAAGTGGGGTTTGTGATTTATTATTTCTTCTTTTATTATTCGCGGCTCTTCCTTCTGTCGATACACCGCAACGTCTTCGTACTGCAAACGCAAAACGCAGCCAGTCCTTTCTTTTCATTTTGTTTTATTTTTTATTTATTTCTTTTTATTTCTTTTCATTTCTTTTTATTATATTGTATATCTTTTTATTTCATTTCTTTTTATTTCCTCTTATTTCTTTTCATTTCTTTTTATTTCTTCTTAATTCTTTTTATTATATTAGACATCTTCTTTTAATTTCTTTTTATTTCTTTCCATTTCCTTTTCCTTTTTCTTCTTCGAGTTCTTTTTGAGTCTGTTTGAATGATTTTAAACCATTTCGACTCTTATTTGGTTATTTTGACTCAGTTGGACTTCTTGTTGGCCTTTGCATGCAATGAATGGACCACTGGTCACTCGCCTTGACCACTGGTCTCTTTTTTTCCACCAACACTTTTGTGCGGAAAGTGTTCGCCTCTTTCTTCAGCTTTCCCTGGGGACACTGGGGACAAAAAGAAAAAAGAAAAAGAAATTGAATTAAATTGAAATAAAATAAAATAAAATAAAATTATATGAAATTATATTGAATCAAATATAATTAAATTGAATTAAATTGAATTAAATTAGAGGCAATTTGATGCTGAGGACGCAAATAGGGGCCTTTTTAAAAAAAGAAAAGAAATGAAATATTTCTTCTTTTATTTTTAAAAAATGAAATAAATGGCTTTTTTCTTTTCTTCTTTTTCGACTCTCTCACTAAATTTAATTCCAAATTTGATTTTGAATCTAATTTTGAATTTAGTTTCTTTTTTAATTTGAAATTTTAATTTTGAATTTAATTTTGAACATAATTTTGAACATAATTTTGAATTTAATTACTTCTTAAATTTCAAATAAAATTTTGAATTTGATTTCAAATTCAACCTTGAATTTTCAACTTTGAATTTGATTTGAAATAGATTTCAAATTCTGATTTCTTTTTAACTTCAAACATAATTTGAATTAAATTTATTTAATTAAACAAAAAGGGAGTTGGCTGACGTCGACAAGAGCCTGTTTGGGGACGGGCTTGAGGACTTCTTGGATTTCCTGGACTTCTTCATATCTGTCGACAATTTTAATAATGGGGACTTCGACATATTTTGGAATATATTTCGTTTCGAAACGCGGAACATAAATTATGTTTTCTTTTATTTCTTCTTTCGGAACGATCTTCACCACTTCCACCACTTGCGGCACCTGTACGTACACCCCAGAGCGCGCATGCAGCTTCGTATCGAAAAAGTGGAAAGCGGCTTTAATTCATTTCAAAGCGTTTCTCGAAAGCATTTTTGGTTTTATTTGTTCTAAATAACATTTAAAGTCAATTTGTTTCGCAATGTGCGCAAAAACGAAAAAAAGGAAACAACTTTCCACACTTTCGGACGCGCTCGCAGACACTGGAAGGCCCGGCCATTTCAGAAAGAGAATTCAATTGTTTTGAAGTTAAAAACATTTATTTCTTTTCTTTTTTCTTTTGTTGTTTTATGTTTTTAATTTAATTTAAATTTGTTCCTTTTTGATGTGCTGCAACGGACTATAAAATGAAACGAAGTCGAAACTAAACCTTCTGCATTTCCGCATTCAATTCGCATTCAAATTTAAATTCAAATTCAAATCTTTATTTATATTTATATTTATATTTATATTTATGTTTATATTTATATTTATATTTATATTTATATTTATATTTATATTTATGTTTATATTTATATTTATATTTATATTTATGTTTATGTTTAGATTTATGTTTATATTTATATTTAATTCCACCGACTTCTACAATAACGTCGCTGTAGAAGACTTCGGGGACTTCGACGAATTTCTGTTGGTTTTGGACGAACTCCAAATCCACATATTTAATTCTTTGCTGCACTTTTGTTTTCGGAACAACGGTTTCAATTATTTCTTTTGCTGCTGCTTGCTGCGCTGCTGCTGCTGCTGCTGCTGCTGCTGCTGCTTCCGCCCGCTGCCGGCTAAACATCGTCCGGCTCTCGTCCCGCACAGCTTAACACACACCCACAAACCCTAAACCCTAAACCCTAAACCCCAAACCCTAAACCCTAAACCCTAGTCGCTGCTTGGCTGTTGCTGCACTCCACAAATGCATCATTTTCAAATGAGATAAATCTGAATTTGAAAACGGAAATGAATTAGAAATGAATTAGAAATGAATTAGATAAAATAAAATAAAATAAATAAACTGAAATACAATGAAATAAACTGAAATAAAACGAAACAAAATGAAATAAACTGAAACAAGATGAAATAAACTGAAATAAAATGAAACAGAATAAAATAAGATGAAAGAAAATAAAACGACACAAAAGAAAACAAAATAAGACAAAACAAAATAAAACAAAACAAAATAAAACAAACCTGAAACTTCATCGAGGCCTCCGTACACCCGAGTTTGAACTGGTGGCAAACTGCGGTGTACGTCCAGCCCAATGCTGCGCCCCACAACTGGCAGCAGCGAGTCAGGAGAATCAGTTCTTTCGGGAAATTCATATTGCTGCTGCTGCTGCTGCTGCTGCAGCTGCTGCTGCTGCTGCTGCTGGTGGAGTGTTCGCTGTTTCGGGGTGAAGGGCCTTTGTTCGTGCTGCTGCTGCGTCGGCGCTGCTGCAGCAGCAGTGGGCGTTGCTGCTGCGGCGGGCGCTGCTGCTGCAGCAGTGGGCGTTGCTGCGGCAGCAGCAGCAGCAGCAGCAGGCTGGCTCCAGTAGCCCGCGTCTTCAAAGTAATTCGGAGGAATGTATCTCTTTAATGGAACTTCCGGAGAAATTTGATTTATTTGAAAATGAGAAAAATCGGAAAGTTCCGGAGGAGTGGAGGTGTCTGCGAAGGCGCTTGCGGTGTCTGGACAGGTGCTGTGGCGCGCGGGGGTGCAGCAGCAGCTGCTGCTGCTGCTGCTGCTGCTGCTGTTGTCTTGGCAGCAGTTGAAAAAGGAACTTTTTAAATTAAAAGAATTTACAGATTTCAAAAAAGAAGAAGCAGCACAAGGTCGAGACAAAGGACTCGAACCGCGAGACACGCCGCCCCTGCCAGCAGCAGCAGCAGCAGCAGAACTCCGCGCAGCAGCAGCAGCAGCAGGATTCCGCGCTGCAGCAGCAGCAGCAAAGCCAGCTGCAGCACCTGCTGTTTCTATCAGAAATGAACCGCCGTGCACAAGATGCTCCCGCCGCGGGACCCGCTGCAGCAAATATAAACAATTCAAATTAATTAATTAATTAATTAATTAATTAATTAATTAATTAATTGATCAATTATTAAGTGTTTAATTGATTAACTAATTGTTTATTTGTTCATTTATTTATTTACTTCTCGATGAGCATTTACAGAAGGACTTCGCAGAGGGCTGGGGTCTCTTCTGGGGGGCCTTTCGGGCTCCTGCACACAGACACAGCAGCAGCAGCAGCAGCAGCAGCAGCAGCAGGAAGGTGTTTCGGGGTTTGAAGAAGAGGCAGCAGAGTGTACTTTACGTCTTTTGCGTTTAAATATCTCAAAATAGAATTCTAATTTAATTAGAAGTCTTTAGTTGTTTTTAATTTGGCACATCACCTGCTGCGCCGGCGGCAGCTGCGGAATTTCCGGAAGCTGCAGCCGCATTTTGAGGCTGGAGGGTCGCCAGAGAGGTCTGGGGGTTCTTTAAAGGGTCTTTTGGGTTTATTTTTGAATTTAACTTGCAAAACTAGTCAAATAAATTGAAAAAGAGAGAAAAACGGGGCGAAATGGAATTGTTTTCGGCGCTGCTGCTGCTGCTGCGGAGCACCAGCGGTCCTGCTGCTGCAGCAGCAAGCAACGAAAGCCGCTGCTGCTGCCGGCTTTTGCCTCTTTAACTCCCGCGAATTGAAAAGAAAAAACAATTTGAATTTCAGAGAAAGAAAAAGAAAAGAAAAGAAAAGAAAAGAAAAGAAGAAGCTGGCGCTTTCCGGTCCGTCGGCTGCGGGGGGCGGCGGCGGCGGCTTCGGAGCGCCGCAGCTCCAAATCCAGCAATTCAAATGCTGCAAATGCAAAATTAATCAAACAATTTATTAAACGTAGACAAATTGAAAATAATTAAACGCAAAAAGAAGAAAAATAAAAACAATTCGCCGCTGTCCAGCCCCGGCACGGCGCAGCTGCAGCCGCCGCCCCTCACCACCTCACCACGCGGGATTTTGAGGTGTCGATACACCCCAGACCCTCGTTTTGAAAAGCCCCTTTTCATTTCTTTTTTCATGTCATTTATTTTAATTTTAATTTCAAATTCAAATTCAAATTCAAATTGCAGTTCTGGTCACTTGCGGCTGCGCCGGTGGCTGGACCGCTGCGCCGCTGAAGACCAAACCATTCAGCTTTCGTGTCTTGGCCTCAAAATCTGCAAACCAACAATTACTGAAGTACTTCTTTCTTCTTTTCTTTTTTATTTTCAAATTTATTTTCCACTTTCAAATTTCATTTTCGATTATCCAAAAAACTCCGCCCAAGGGGCACTCTGGGGCTCAGCAGCAGCACACCACAGCAGCAGCAGCAGCTGCTGCAGCTGCTGCTGCTGCTGCTGCTGCTGTGGTCCACTGCTGCAGCGCAGCAGAACCGAAACAGTGAAGTGATCTGAAACCACTTCTTTGCTTCGCAGCACTTTGAGAACTTTTTAAAATTAAAATTATTTAAAGAGTGGATTTCTTTTTTTCAATTTCATTTCTTTTCCCTTTCATTTATTTAATTCCTGCTTTCCACCATTTCAAGAAATTCGACTTCGCGCGCGCAGCAGCTCCTCTTCTTTTTTCTTTTTTGTCATTTTTCTCCACTTCTTCATTCCAATAATACTAATTAATTAGTTCAAAACTTCCTCCACTTCATCTGCGTTTTTAATTATAATTATTTTCATTAAAATTTAATTTTCAAATTCGAAATTCAACTTTTCGTCTTTTGGGGGAAACCAAGTGTATATACACCCCAGCTTCCGGATCACTTTCCAAATTTTCGTTCTTGAATTTTTTTGATTTCCGAGTTCGCCAGAAAGTTTGAAATAAATCTTTTTCGTTTTATTTAGTTAATTTAAAAATAGTTTTTACTTTTAATTTCATTTCTCTTTATTTCAAATTTTTAAAGTTCGAGTTCGCGTTTCACCAGAAGACAAATAAGTTGAATGGCAACAGCAAGTCTGAATAATGAGAAATGGTATTTAAACAGGAAATAAATAAATAAATACACAAACATGTAAATAAATAAATAAATATACATAAATAAGAAATAGGGAAATAAATCATTTAGCTTTTTGCTGCTGCTGCTGCTTTTCTTGCCGCTTGCTGCGCCAAAATCCCCTTCGATAAAACCCGCGTCTTTGCTGCTCCTGCTGCTGCTTTATTATTTCCTGCTGCTGCTGCTGCTGCGTTCTTGCTGCCTGGCATTGTTGATTTCGAGACGGAAGCTGTCTTTGGAGTGCCCGCTGCTGCTGCTGCTGCTGCTTTGCTCGGGCTTGCTGCTGCTGCTGGTGCTGCTGCTGCGCCCGGCTTTGCTGCTGCTGCTGCTTTATTCTGGTTTATCGCTATTGTTGGAGGTGCTGCTGCTTTGCTCGGTTTTGCTGCTGCTACTGCTGTTGCTTTACCCTGACTTGGTGCTGCAGCTGCTGCTGTGTTGCTTGGCTTTGCTGCTGCTGCTGCTGCTTTGCTCTGGTTTAGTGCTGCTGCTGCTTTGCTCTGGTTTAGTACTGCTGCTGCTTTGCTCTGGTTTAGTGCTGCTGCTGCTTTGCTTTGGTTTGCTGCTGCTGCTGCTTTGCTTTGGTTTGCTGCTGCTGCTGCTTTGCTCTGGTTAAGTGCTGCTCCCGGTGCTGCTGCTTTGCTGTGTTTTGCTGCTGCTGCATCTGCGGGCGCTGCTGCTTTGCTGGCTTTCGTGGCTGCTGCTGCTGCTGCTTCTTCTGCTGCTGCTGCTGCACTGGACTTGGCCGTGACGGTGCGTTTTAGAGTCTCTTTTGCTGCAGCTTTTTCTGCACTTGTTTCTTTTTTCAAACTTGAACTTTTATTTATATTTATACTTTTTGCTTCTTTGCCCGGAGCAGCAGCAGCAGCAGCAGCAGCACCTTGCTTCTTAGGTGGGGCGCTGGAGGCAGCAGCAAACTGCGAGGCCAAGCTGCCGCTCTTCCCAGCTGCTGCTGCTGCTTCTGGGTCTTTTGCTGCTGCTGCTGCTGCTCTGCTTTGTTTTGCTGCTGCTGCTGCTGCTGCGTCAGGCGGGGGGCCCGCCGCTGCCTTCGGCTGCAAGCAAACAGACAAAAGACAAATAAATAAAATAATAAAACAAATAAAATAAATAAAATAATAAAATGATAAATAAATGGATAAAATAAATAAAATAATAAATGAATTAAATGAACAAAATAATAAATAGTGAATAAACTAGAATAAAGATAAAAGGATTAAAAAGAAGAACAAAAGTAAAAAAGTGCTGCGCTGCTGCTGCACTTGAATTCAATTAAATCTTTTTTGTCCAAAACAAATTAAAATTAAATTCATTTGAATTTATTTTTTAATTTCTTTTCAATTTCTTTTTAATTTTAATTGTTAAAACAGCAGCAGCAGAAGACGCAACAGGGAGCGCTGCTGCTGCTGCTGCTGCTGAAAGGAGGGGCTGATAAAGGAGCAGCGAAAGAGCCGCAAACGAAGAATAAACGAAACTAAATGGAAAATAAATGAAATAAAATGAAAAATAAACAAAAACAGAACAAAAAGAACCCAAAACTGGGGAAAAAGGAGAAAAAGAAAAGCAATTACCTTCGCTTTCTCTGCTGCCTTGGGCTTCCCTCTGCTGCTGGGCGGCTGCAGCGCTGCTGCATCCAGCGGCCCTTTTTGCTGCTGCAGCGCGGGAGATTTAATTGAATGGAGTTCTATATTTGGACTTTGCGTTGAAGGGGCTTTTTGGGGAGCCAAAAGTTTCAAATAAATGGACTTGTGCCTCTCGGGCTGCGGCAGCAGCGCGAACGAGTCGAGTGTACGTACACCCGAAGTTTCCTTCGCAGCTGCTGCTGCTGCTGCAGCTGCTGCTGTTTCCTTTTTCCGCGCCTTGAAAGGGTTCAAAAACTCGTACCAAGGAGTCTTTTGCTCTTTTGCTGCTGCTGCTGCCTTCTTCGGCTCAGCAGCAGCAGCAGCAGCAGCAGCAGCAGCAGCGGGGCCACCAGAAAAGTCGTACGACGCGCTGCAGCAAAACCAACACACGAGCCCAAACTTTCCTTCTTTTAGCTTTTAAATACCATTCAAATCCAAAACATCTTTTATTTATTTACTATTTATTTATTTATTTATTCAAATGCAAAACATATTTTATTTATTTAGTTAAATGCAAATATATTTGTAAAAATTCGTCTTAATTGAATATATTCAAAAAAAAGGCTCAGAGGAACTATTAAGGTGAAAAAATAAAAATTAGTTTGACCTCATTTGTTTTGTTATTTTGTCTATTTTATTCACTTTATTTATTTATTTATTTATTTATTTTATTTGTTTCATTTGTTTTATTTGCTTTATTTATTTTGTCTACTTCTTGTATTGTTTTATTGATTAATTTGCTTTATTTGTTTTATTTTAAAAACAAAATATTTGAAGTTCACAAATGGAGAGGCTACGGCCAACTTCAAAAAAGAAATAAAGCAGAAAAGATAAAACGGAAATATAAAAGAACAAGACTCTGAATTAAATTAAATAAAATCAAAGTAAATTAACTAAATTAAATTAAATTAAATTAGTAAATTAAATTAAATTATTTAGTAAATTAAATTAAATTAAATTAATTAATTAAATTCATTAAATTCATTAAACTAATTAAATTAATTAAATTAATTAGATTAAGTAGATTAATTAAGTTGATTAAATTAATTAAATTAATTAAATTAATTGCATTAATTAAACTAATTAAATTAATTAGATTAATTAAATTAATTAAATTGATTAAACTAATTAAACTAACCAAATTAATTAAATTAATTAGATTAATTAAATTGATTAAATTAATTAAATTAATTAATAAACTAAATTAATTAAATAAATTAAATTAATTAAAAAAAATTAAATCGAATAAATAAATTAAATTAATTAAATTAGTTAAATTAATTAAATTACCTCAAGACTTTCTCTGGGGTTAATTCTGGGCCTTCGGCGCCGGAGAATCCTTTTAGGGTGAGGAAGACAGCGCCTGGAAATAAATTTTAAATTGAAAAAATAAAAATAATTTAATGGCAATTAATGGCAATTAATGGCAGCTTTGTGGCAGTTAATGGCAGTTTAATGGCAGTTAATGGCAGTTAATGATTAATAAATAATTAATTTTGAATTTTTAATTATCTTTAATGCGAAATTAAAAAAATGAAAAAAAGATAAAAGACAAATTAGTGCGCGAGAGAAATAGAGGCGAAATACGCAAAGGATATGCTGTGCACTAATTCAAATAAATGGATAAATAAATATATAAATAAATATATAAATAAATAAGTAGATAAATAAATAAATAAACAAGTAGATATATTAGTTAATTAATTAACTAATTAGTAATAAGTAAAAGAACAAATGAATAAATGAATAAATGGATAAATGAACACTCACAAATAATAAACAAATAAATACATAAATAAATAAGTAAATAAATGAATAAATAAGTAAATAAATAAGCAAATAAATAAATAAATAAATAAATAAATAAATAAATAAATAAAAGACAGAACTATAAGAGGATGGATTGTTTTGAAAAGAAAGAAAAGGCATTCAAGACTGCGCAATTCAATAAGCCGGCTACAGCCGAGTTTGTCTTGGATTTTTTTTGAATTTTGTTCATTTTTTGCAGAAAAAGATTTATTTTAATCAATTAATTGTTTATTTATCATTTATTTATCATTTATTTGCTATTTATTTGCTATTTATTCGCCTTTTATTCGTTTTTGAAACGTTTTAATTCCATTTCCACTTCTCACCAACCAGCGTCGGCTCCGGCACCGCCGCCACGCCCATCACCTCCTGCGGCACGTAGAGCGGCCAGGCGTTGATTTCCGACAACTGGAAAGTAACGAAATAAACAACAAAATAATAAATTAAATAAATTAAACTGATTTAATTAACAATAAATCCACAAAATAAACAACAAATTCAACAAATCAGACATTTAATCCTTATTCGCTGATAGCCAAGCTGTCTGCGGGCGTTTACAGCAGAAAGAATCTCAATCCCAAACCCTAAACCCTAAACCCTAAACCCTAAACCCTAAACCCTAGACCCTAAAACCTAAACCCTAGACAATTTGTACGCGGCTACAAATCCGTATTTCTCGTGCTTGAAGGCAAATCTCTCCCCGTTGTCGCCTGCGGTTCCTGCGCGCCTGAGGCTTCAGGGTTTAGGGTTTAGGGTTTAGGGTTTAGGGTTTGGGTACTCTTTCTCGGGTTTGTTCAACATTAATTGGTTTTGTAATTCCCGCAACTCTGCGCATGAATTCGCCTTGCTGGGTTTTCTCGTTTTTTTTGCCCATCACCAAAACCACCGCAATGCGCAGCACCGGCGAAGACGCGTCGAAGGGCAAGACAACCTGCGTTTTTCGCGGAATAAATGCAAATTTGAATTCGAAATTCGAATTCATTTTCAAAATTCACTTTAATTTAAAAAAAAATTCAAAAAACCGAGAAAAAGAGCCTCTAAAACCACAATTTCAAGGAATTTCACTAAACATGAATCACCAGCAACGTTCACGTTTCTGCACCTTTTCACGAAGCTTCGCATTTTTGATCAAATTAATGCAAAATTAATGCAAAATTAATCCAAAATGTTAAATTGATTTCCAAAATTAATCCAAAAATTAAAGAAGAAATCAAAAGTTCGAAAAAAAAGTCCTCAAGATGATGATTTCAAAGAGTTCCCTCTTTTCCACTTCACCCCAGGGAGCTTGAATAATTGCAAAATAAAAAGCAAAATTAAGAATTAAAAATAAATAATTATAAATTATAATAATAATAATAAAAAGGAAATAGTAAAAATAAAAAAAAATATATAATGGTGATAAATAAAAATGAACAACAAAATAAAAAGAAGACACAATTATAAATTATGAATGTAATAGAAAGCAAATATTGGAGAAAAATAAATTTTAATAATGAGATAAAGAAGAAAATAAAAAAGAGAAATAAAAAATAAATAAAATTAAGATGAACAAAATAATTGAATAATCATCAAAGACAAGAACAAATAAGAAACGTAAAACAAAATGAACAAGATAATAAAATAAAAGAATGAATCAAACACTTAAGAATTCGAATAATAAAATGAAATAATGAAATAATAAAACAAAGAAATTCGAAAAGAATGAAAAGAGAAAACGAAAAATGCAGAAAAAGGAATTTTGCAGAAAGATGAAAAAGAGGAAAAAGGAGAAAATTGAAAAGCAGAAAAAGAGGATACACGCGAATTAAATTAAACTGCAAGGATTTAAATGGAATTAAATGAATTAAAATGAATTAAAATAAATTAAAATAAATTAAAATAAATTAAAATAATTAAAGATGTAAATTCGCACTGTTCTTCTGAAGTTGCAGCTAATTCGGCTTTTGGGAAACTCCGAATCGTTTTGGGGTTTTGCAATTTCAGTTCGGTGGGAAGAAAGGAGAGACATCTGAAAAGAAAAACAATTAAATTAAATTAAAATAGATTAATTAAATTAAATTAAATTAAATTAATCAAAATAAACTAAATTAATTATTCAAAATACTTCAATTGCGATTAGCAGCAAAGAAAAGCAACTCCAACGAGCAGCGAAACGCCAAGATACGACCCAGGGTTTAGGGTTTAGGGTTTAGGGTTTAGGGTTTAGGGTTTGGAGCTTGCAGGTGCATCTACAGGCTCGTGGCTGAAGCGCAAAGGCCTAATAAAAACCAGCGTCTGAAGGCTCCGGGAGCCGTGGAGTTTAGGGTTTAGGGTTTAGGGTTTAGGGTTTAGGGTTTAGGGTTTAGGGTTTACGTAGTCGAGGTCTTCTCCGTCGTGGAAGGCGACGCAGTAAACCCTCGTTTTGACAACTCCGAGTTGAAAGGCATGAGCGAATTTGTAGTAAAGTCTTTGAACTCTAGAAATTCTAATTGCTGCTTTAGTCCATTTTTTGATGATTTTGTGGCTTTCAGCAGCAGCAGCAGCAGCAGCAGCAGCAGGCTGCGGCGCAGCAGCAGCAAGCCCCAGCTCTTCGTTTGCTGCAACAGCGCAGCCGTCGCTCTCGGGGCCTTCGCCTTCTTTCTGGGGCCCCACAGGTTGAATTATTACGGATTGCTGCAGCTGCTTGCTGCTGTTGCTGCTGCGGCTGCTGCTGCTGCTGCTGCTGCTGCGGCTCGCCTCCGACGTCGCCGGAGACGCCGGCGGCTCTTCTGCTGCTGCTGCAGGCTCTGCTGCTGCTGCTGCTGGCTCTGCTGCTGCTGCTGGCTCTGCTGCTGCTTTGGGCTCCGCCTTCGGCTCGGGCTCCGGTGCTGCTGCTGCGGACTTTGCTGCTGCTGCGGACTTTGCTGCTGCTGCGGACTTTGCTGCTGCTGCGGACTTTGCTGCTGCTGCGGACTTTGCTGCTGCTGCTGGCTCCTTCTGCTTGGGGGGGATAGAGACAGCAACCTTTCTCGGGGATTCTGGGGGAGGTGCAGCAGGAGCAACGGGAGCAGCAGAGGCAGCAGCAGGAGCAGCAGGAGCAGCAGCAGCAGGAGCAGCAGCAGCTGGTGTCTCAGAATGACTCACGGGGTCCTTCTTAGGCTCTGGCGGCGGCTGCTGCTCTGCTGCTGCTGCTGCTGCTGCTGCTGCTGCTGCTTTTGGCTCCGGCGGCGGCGGCGGCGGCGGCGGGGGTGGAGGGGGAGGCGGTGGCGGGGGTGGAGGGGGAGGCGGTGGCGGGGGTGCTGCTGCTGCTGCTGCTGCTGCTGCTGCTGCTGCTGCTGCTGCTGCTGCTGCTGGCTTGGGCTCAGGCTCAGGCGGAGGGGGCGGCGGCTTCGGTGGGGTTGTTGTAATAACGGATTTGGCAGCAGCAGCACGAGGGGGTTTCGGTGCAGCAGGCGCAGGGGCCCGCGAAACAGCAGCAGCAGCAGCAGCAGCAGCAGCAGCAGGAATGTACTTTTCTCTTTTTAAAGGTTCTACAAATCCGTCAAGACGCAAAAGACAGTCTGTGCAGCGCTGGCCTTCGAGTGTACTGTCACTTAACTTGGGGGTTTCGGGTTGAGCTGCAGCGCATGCGGATCGGAGTTGAAAAGAAAATAAATGAGCGTTTGGAGAGACTTTGGAGACAAATTGCATTTATTTGTTCAAAACAAACATTTAAATGCATTTAGTTTCCATTTTTTTAAATTTTTCCAGCCAAATCCGCCAATTCGGGGCCACCGGGAAGGAAAGCTAGCGGGCCATCTGAGGTGTACAGACACCTCGTTGCAAAGGGTTTTTTGAACTTTCTTCAAAACTGCTTCTGCGAAAGACTTTGAAATAAATTAAATCATTTAAATCATTTTAAAAATAAAAAGGATTAATTTAAGTCTTTGAAAGAACTAATTTACCCGCCGGGGCGCTTTCAGGGGCCGGTTTCTGCTTTTTCGCTTTTCCTGCTGCTGCTGCTGCGTCCGTGGAGCGCTGCTGCTGCTGCTGCTGTTGCTGCTGCTGCTGCTGCGCGAGAGCTTCGCTTATTGAAGAATAAAATTCAAATCCTTCAAAAGGACTTCTTTCTGGTTCCAATGCCGAATTCGCTTCGGAAGCAGAAGACCCCAAAATCACAAGAGGGTGCAGCACGAGTTGCGGGCTGAAGGGCCCCACACTTTCTTGCTGCTCTGCTGCAGCGCCCCCGTCCTCAGCAGCAGCAGCAGCAGCAGCAGCAGCAGCGGGACGCCGGGGAGGCAGGGACGGGGCCCTCAGCCGCGCGCCGTTGAAAAAGACGTTTTTTGTTTGCTGCAAAAGACAAAAAGAAAAAGCTGACAGACACACCTTAAAGCTGAAGCAGCAGCAGCAGCAGCAGTAGCTGCTGCTGCTGCTGCTGCACCTTCGGGTGTATGTGCAGCAGCAGCACCAGAACACCCAAATTCAAAACAAGAAAACTGCGCCCAGCAGCAATCCAGGCAGCAGCAGAAGCTGCAGCAAACAGCAAGTAAATAAACAAACAAATAAATAAATGAATAAATAAATAAATAAATGAATAAATAAATAAATAAATAAATAAATAAATAAATAAATAAATTAATAAATAAGTCCTGCCTCAGAGTCCGAAGAAAACGCTTCTGCAGGAAGAGTCAAAGGGGGCAAAGCCGTTTGCTGCCAGGCCTTTCGGGTGTCTGTACACCTTAAGTCTTCTTGGCTTTCAAAATCAATTTCCTCAAAAGAAGGAAAGGACACCAGCTGCAGCACACAAGCAGCACTGCAACACTGCTGCTGCTGCTGCTGCTGTTGCTGTTGCTGCTGCTGCAGCAGCTGCTGCAGCGATCAGGGGGGCTGTATTTCTGTGGTGGGGCTGGTGTTGCTGCGGCAAAGTGCTGTGCTGTTGCGTCGCCGCCGCCGCGCATTTGCTGATGCCGCTGCTGCTGCTGCTGCTGTGTTGCTGCTGCTGCTGCGTTGCTGCTGCTGCTCTGCTGCAGGTATGCGCACAGTTGTTCTTGAAGGGGGAAGCGCCATGGTGAAGAGGAGCCCGAGTGGGCAGCGGCGGAGTGAAGGTTGGGGGAAGCGGAAAGCTGGGGAAAATGGCCGCGATCTTCGCCTCTGGGCGCTTCCTTGTGTCCAACTTTACTTTATTTTATCATTTAAATTGAAAAAGAAGATCTAAATGCGCAGAAAGAACAGTTGTGAGCGCCGGACATCGGCGTGGACCCGTTGCAGCTGGCTGGTTCCGGTGTCTAGACACCTCAAGGAGCAGCAAACGCAGAACGGAAACGCTCAGCAAGCGCCATTTTCGATGCAGTTCATTTCTTTCATTCTTTTGTTTAATTTAATTTAATTTATTTATTCCAAAAGGCCTCCGAAGCCGCCCTTTGGCTCTCTGCCGCCGCACAGAAGGTCGATGCTGCAGCAGCAGGGGCTGCTGCCGCCTGGTTCAGCAGCTCGAACTTCCGGTCTTTTTCTCCGTTTTCTTCGCAACTTTTCGCAGAATTTCTTTCTTTTATTCAAAATTCAGTTCCATTTAATCCAAAAAAAAGAAAAATAAATCAATTTTCTCCGTCTTTCCACTCCAGGCTGCCCGGAGGCGTCAGATCGCCGCCGCGGCCGACGGGTTCGTGCGGCGTTTCCACAGTTCGCAGTTTTGCTGCTGCAGCAAAACTCCATTTTGCATTTATTTCTTTTTTTATTCTTTTCTTTATTTCGCTTCTTGCAGTTTCAGGGAGTTGCTGCAGCAGCAGCAGCAGCAGCGCCCAACTAGGCAGCAGCACGCAGAAGCAAAGATGGCAGCAGCAGCAGCAGCAGCAGCAGCAAATTCCAAAATCCATCAAAAGTGTTATTCCCACTAAGATAAACACCTGCATATAATTAAACAGCAAAATGACAGAAACAGCACCACCACCCCTGGCAGTGGCTAGCTGCTGCTGCTGCTGCTGCCGCTGTTTTGCTGTTGCTGCTACTGTTGTTCTTGTTGCTGCTGCTGTTACTGTTGTTGCTGCTGCTACTGTTGCTGCTGCTGCTGCTGCTGCTACTGCTCACTGTGCTCGGGTGTTCAGACAGCCGGCTAGCCAAGGAATTCAAATGAAGTCAAAACTGAAAAAATAAAAGAAAAATGAAAGCCGCGAGGTGTACGTACACCTGGCAATAAGGGAATCTGCAGCTGCGCTATTTATTAAAATACTTTTAATTAATTTATTTTTCATTTATTTAAAAAGAAACAAAAACGAAGCAGCTCAAGATATCATTTTTGTTTCTTTTTATTACTTTAAATTAATCCGAAATAAATTCAACACCATTGTACTAAGCTTTATTATGTAGCTACGCCGGCATGAAGGGAAGGATGGCTGCTGCTTTCAACAGCAGCAGCAGCAGCTGCTGCTGCTGCTGCTGCTGCTGCTGCTGCAGCTGCTACATGTTGTTTTGCCTGCAAAGAATGGCCTTGAGTGCTGCGTGTCTCTGTATGTCTGCTGGGGCTGTGCGGCCGACGCTTTGGAGGAATCTCCTGCTGCCTTCTGCTGCTGCTGCTGCTGCTGCTGCTGTTGCTGCTGCTGCTGCTGGCTGCCTGAGCTCGCCCAGGGCGCTGCGAATTGCTGCAGCACAAGAAAGGCTCTTTCCTGCTTCTGTGGGAGTTGGCATAGTCTGCAGCAGCAGCAAACTTGTGTGCTGCTCGGTGGCGGGGGAAACGCTGGCTGTCCTGACGTCTGCTGCATCTGCTGCTGCTGCTGCTGCTGCTGCTGCTTCTGCTGCTTCTGCGTTTGCGCACTCGGCTGCTGCTGCGTCTTTGGCCGCCGCCGCAGCAGCAGCAGCAGCAACAACCTGTGCTGCAGCAGCTTCCAGAGCTGCCCAGGCGCTGCTGCTGGGGGAGGCCCCCAGAGCAGCAGCAAATCTTTCATTTTCTTTATTCTTTATTTCTTTTTTACTTTTATTTGCAAAAGCAGCGAAGGGATCTTTTCGCTGCTTGTGCTTCTTTCTGGGCAGCGCCGGCAGCAGGGTGTCTGTACACCTGAGCTCGCCCTGCTGCTCCGCCGCCGCTGCTGCTGCTGCTGCTGCTGCAGCGCCAGAAGCAGCCAGGTCGGGACTCAGCAGCAAAACAGAAAGCGGCAGGCTGTGGGTGTGTGCAGCAAAACACCCGCTTGCCAGCAGCAGCAGCAGCTGCTGCAGGTGCTGCTGAGGTGACCCCGGGAATCCTGGGGGGGGCCCCAGTGCCGGCGAAGCTGCCAGCGGCTCCGCAGCAGCAGCAGCAGCAGCAGCAGCAGCAGCAGCGGCGGCCTCTTGCCTGCTCGAACTGGGGCGCAGGCGCGGAGACGTGCACCCTGCGGGCGCTTTCCCGCTGCTGCTGCTGCTGCTGCTGCGCGGCGCGGGGCGCGTGGGGCGGCTTGAGGCGGCGCGCTGCTGCTGCAGCAGCAGCGCAGCCCGGGCGCGGCGGCTCCCCTGCTGCTGGCGCGGGTGCCCGGGGGCCCCGCGGCGCTTGGCTGCAGCAGCAGCAGCAGCAGCAGCAGCGCGAGGCAGGCAGAAGGTGTAGAGAACGTCGGGGGCCCTCCGCAGCTCTGCTGCGCCGTGCGCGTGTCTGCAGCGGGGCCCCAAGGCGCAGCCTGCTGCAGTCTGGAAGGCCCTGCAGAGCTGCGTCTTGTAGAAGGAAGAAGTGGCGCGCAGCTGCGAGGGCGAGTGGGAGTAGCGGCAGGCAGCAGCAGCGCAGCAGCCGCTGCGCTGCTGCTGCGGGCACATCCGCGTGCAGGTCAAGTCGTAGACTGGCCGCAGCTCTGCTGCGCTGTGGGCGAAGCTGCAGAGGCCTGGGAAGCTGCAGGGGCGCCCGCGGGCGCGGTCGCAGAGCCGGGTCTTGTAGAAGTTGTAGAAGGTCTGCGGCGCTGCGGGCAGGCCCGCCGGGGGGCCCCCCGGGGGCCCCGGAAGCGCGCTCATTGCTGCTCGGGACTTACAAAGGAACTCCAAATCTCAAAACGGACAAGTTGGACACATTTAGGCGCGAAGGGCTCGCCGGGAAGCTCCGCGTGCGCCCGCGGAGTGCTACTGCGTCCGCCGCTGCTGCGGACGAGGAACGCGGCCTCGCGGACGCCAGGGACGCGGAATACTAGTGCTACTGGGCGCTTTCTACAAGCCTATATTGCCTGCGTCCAAAAGAATAAAGACATTTTCCCAAAAATCCGAGGAAACCCGCAGATCGCCGCCGTGACCACTGGACCACTCATCGGCAGCGCGCGCCCGCAGGCGCCTCTTCAGGAACGCGACAGAAAAATCCGAGCCGAGTTCGAAAAAAGGCTCTTTATGAAAAACAAACAGGGAAAAAACTTTATTTAGGCAACGGGGGCTAAGATTTTCAAACAAGGATACAACTGACCTGCGCCGCGGCTCAAAGCTGCAACGGAGCGTGATGGGTGCGCATACACCCCAGCAGCTCTGTGCACAGAACCCGTCACTCCGCGAAACACTTTTCTAAAACACTTTTAAATTAACTCTTAAAACGAAAAAAATACATTTTTCAACAAGTTTCAGCGCAAAATGCTGCGATTGCAGCTGCTGCTGCTCCCCCCTTTCCGCCAGGTTTCCCTGTGTTGCAGGGTCTCAACTCGGCATCCGCTCCTCTCTTCTGCCATTATTTTTCTAATTTCTTTAATTTCTCTTTTTGTAAAGGCGCATTCTATTCGAATAAATCCCTTCACCGCAAAAAGCACCTCGAGTAAGCGTTGAGTTCGGCCACTTGCGCAAAACTTGAAACTTGCAAGTGCGATCACCTTTTGAATTTCAGCGAACATGGCAGAAACCATCAAGGGTACTTGATTGAAACATCATTTTTCTGCATTTTTTTATTATTTAAATGCAAATAAATGCCAAAAAACGAAGAAATCGCAAATGAATTTTCCCTCGGTTTCGACGCGCTGCCGACGACGCAGCAACTTGTACGCCGCTTTCCCCGCTGCTGCTTCCTCGCCGCCCCGCTTAATGCTGCATTACTTTCAGATTCATGAAATTGAAAAGTGAGATTATGAAATTATTTAATTTTATCTCGAATTTAATTTCCCGCAGAGACAACGTGGAGGAAATGGCAGCGTTGGACACCCAGCTGGATGCAGGGCGGCGGAAAGCGGTCTATTTGTGAGCGTTTTCGCCACTTTTTGTGTTAAAATTGACTTTTTAAGAATTAAAAAAGAATAGTTGCAAATATTAATAAAAAATAACTTCCATTTCATCGCTTTTAGGTGCCCAGGGCCCCCCTACGCCCGCAACTACGCAGCAGTTTGCCCAGAGGGCTGGACTCTGCAGGCAAACGGCTCTTGCTGGGGGCGGGGCTACCGGGGGTGAGAGTTCGGGTGTACGTACACCTCAGCAGCAGCTGCAGCGGGGATCAAGGAGGGTTTATTATCACAATTACTTTTTAATTTTTCTTTTATTTCTTGACTGCGCAGCCCCTGCGAGTCTCTGCACTACTTCGGAGGCTTCAACGAGTCCCGAAAAAGGAAGTTCGTAAGTTCTTTTAAAATTGAAAAAGTTGAAATAAAAGTTGAAAATAAAAGTTGAAATTAAAGTTGAGAATAAAAGTTGAAAAGAAAAGTTTAAGAAAAAGAAATGACACTGCATTCTTCTCTATGCATCAGGAACACGACTGCTGCGCGTACTGGCCGATGAAAGCAGCAGCAGCAGCAGCAGCAGCAGCAGCAGTTCTGCCTTCCCTGCCCCACGGCCCCGTAAGTGCCAGCTTCTGTTTTAGTAAATAAGTTGTTTTAATTCTTAAAAACAAAAAAATAAAAAGTGCATATTGAACACATTCGGGTGTATGTACAGGTGGAGGCTTCCAGTGGCAGCATAATACGGCCGTCGCTGGTGTAGCTGCTGTCTGGGCATTTCCTGTTCGAAATTCATTGTTTTTGATCCATTTTAATTCCTTTTTCGTTCTTTTTTTGCCAATTATTGTTTATTTTGGATTTTAATTGCGGATCTCGCGTTATTTCTTCGCGAGGGACGCGGCCTTGCCTGCTTTCTTCGCAGCAGCTTCCAGTTTCTTCCTCTCGCGATCGAGAAGCTCCTGCTTCGCCTTCCGCACAGTTTCCACGTTTCGCACGAAGGCAAAAATCTGTTTGAAGAATTCGTCGGGCTTTATTTTCTTCACGTCTTTTTCGGGATAGCCCAAAAAGTGGACAGTGGAGGTGAATTCCTCCATGGCCTGCGCAGCAGCAGCGGCGGAAACGCGAAAAAAGAGTTCAAAAAATCTTTTTTTCGAATAAATAGCCCCAAGTGGGAATTAAATGCAATTTAAAACAATAAAACGAAAAAAAACCCAAAAAAGAACCCAGATCGCCCCCAAAACGCAAAACTTGAATTTTCTGAATTTTCTGAATTTTTCGAATTTCGCCCGTAGGCGCATGCAGCGCGGATCTGGAAATATTGAAACTTTGAAGTTCTGGATTTTCCAAACTTCGTGAATCCGAAACTGAATTGAATTCCAAGAAAACTTGACAGAAAGGCACTGCAGCAACAGCAGCAGCAGCAGCAGCAGCAACAGCAACAGCACCGCCAGCAGCAGCAGGAGCAGCAGCAACAGCAGCAGCACCAGCAGCAAGAGCAGCAACAACAGCAGCAACAGCAGCAAGAGCAGCAACAACAGCAGCAGCAGCAGCAGCAGCAGCAGACTTCTTTGAGGAACTTTTCAAGTTCTGCAACTTTGGGTTCTGCCTCTTCGACGAATTCGTCCATGATGGTGGCCAGCGGGTCTTTTTCTCCCAAGACACCCGAAGCTTCATTTCCCTTTCGCGCCATTTGAACAGTGTTTTTGACTTTCGCCACTCCTAAACCACAAAAGAGGGAGTTTGCAGCAGCAAAACCACAAAAGGGGGAGTTTGGAGCAGCAAAACCACAAATGAGGGAGTTCGCAGCGGCGAAACCACAAAAGGGGGAGTTCGCAGCGGCGAAACCACAAAAGGGGGAGTTTGGACCGGCGAAACCACAAAAGAGGGAGTTCGCAGCAGCAAAACCACAAAAGAGGGTTTAGAAGGCTCGAAGCAAGTGGAGTACAGGACGGAAACCTTGGCTGAAATGAATGAGGGAAAAGATAAAATAAAATGAATAAAACTGAAAAGACTTTAAATGAAATAAATAAAAATGTTGAAATGAAAAAGAATTATGACAACAACCCCACCCTGCTTCAAGGCCTGGATCTTCCCCTCCACAGCGCCGATGTCGATCTTCTGGGCCTTGTCGCAGATCTTGAGTTCGCTGAAGATGTCCAACAATGCGGGGTTTTGTTCCCAAATAATCTGCAATAAAGTGTTTTAAAACAGTCAGTGCAGCAAACCCTCTTTTGTGGTTTTGCTGCTGCGAGAAACGGGAAAAAAACCAACTAAAACCATCCAAAAACGCATGCAGCAGCAGCAGCAGCAGCAGCAGCAAGGACGCAGGTGTACACACACTTGAACTGCAGCAAGCAGCAGCACCGCAAAAGCCAACTTCCCGCAACGCAGCAGCAAATCAACCCCCACCCCGCATGCAGCAAACCCGCCTTGAAACGCCCCGCAAACTACCATTTAGGGTTTAGGGTTTAGGGTTTAGGGTTTAGGGTTTAGGGTTTAGGGTTTGCGGCTAGGAACATGCCCGCACCCCCCTGAACACGCCGGCAGCCCCGCAAGAGCGCAAAAGCCGGCGCGCCTCGGGGGCGGGGCCGCGAGTCAGGACTCAGGGCTTAGGGTTTAGGGTTTAGGGTTTAGGGTTTAGGGTTTGCGGACGTCGCAGAGGTACTGGAGAAGCGTGCGGACGGGCTTGGTGGTGGAGCGGACTTCGTTCAACTTGGCCAAAGTCGAGGGTTTGAAACCCTCGGCATTCCCCCTTTGAGGGTCTCCGTAGTTGAGGAGGTTTCCGATTTCGAGAACAGCAAAGAGGAAGCTCCTGAGGGTTTTGCTGCTGCGCGCTGCTGCTGCTGCTTCCGCCAAGTGGTCCACTGGTCCACACGCCTCCCGGAAGTTCTCCCCGAAGTTCAGCCCAAACAAGTGGCACTCCAGCCGCTGCTTCATCAGCGGAATGCCCAGCATAGCAGCAACGAACTGTTCGGGGCGGTCCACCAGCCTGAGATCTCCGCCTGCAGCGCAGCAAAACACCTGCTGCTGCTGCTGCTGCTGCTGCTGCGGGGGAGGCGTGCAGCGGGGTTTTGGGCTGCTGCTGGTGTGCGGGCGCGGCGCGGTTGGTCGCTGCTGCTGCTGCTGCTGCGGCAGCTGGTGCGTGGTAGGGGCGCAAGTGCTCTTGTGCATAAACATGCAACAAATGTGAAATGGATACGCAAATATGTAACAGATCCTTTAGACGAAAGCGAGATATATGCATATATATGAAGAGGTAATGCAAAATGCAATTAATTCATCTAAAAAGGTGCATTAAACAGTAAAGAACACTCGCAGAAATAAACATTTTCGCGTTGCAAATGCATGCGCGGCGTTATGTATGGCCACGCAAGCCACGATCTGCACGATTATGCGCTTTTAATGCAGAATTATGCGAAATAACTTTGAAATTTTCATTTAATCTATTATTTTTAATTTAGTTGTTCATTTGTTTGCCAAGTTTCCTTCAAAACAAACCCGAGTTGATGTATTCCTTCATCACCGCGGTTTCCTCGGGCGTGGGCACGAAGGTCAGGAGGCTCTCCGTCGCCTCCACAGTTAAAATCTGAATCGACAAGTGAAATAAATTAATTTTAACTTAATAAATAATAAATAATATTCATTTATTAATTCATAACAAACTACAGAAATAAAAGTTAAGAACAAACACCCAAATTCAACAACACAGAACGCGCTATGCCACGCCTCCAGTCACCCCTAAACCCTAAACCCTAAACCCTAACCTTGGGGTTTAGGTCTATGATGGCCTCCCTGAGCTCTTGATAAGAATAGTTGCTAAATTTGGCCAAAGCAATGTTCATGGTATGGGACCTCTTGGAGTCTGGCAGCAGTTGAAGAACCTGCAAAAGCAACAAAACCCTAAACCCTAAATCCTAAACCCTAAACCCTAAACCCTCAGAGCTAGAGCACAGCTAGTCCCGTTGGGCCGATATCGCAGCACGGAAGTAATCTGCTGAGCACTTGACTGCAAATAGTAAAGACGGGAACTGCCCCGCCACTAGGGTTTAGGGTTTAGAATAAGTTAAGGAAAATTAGGGTTTAGGGTTTAGGGTTTAGGGTTTGGGGTTTCAATGTACCTTTGGCTTCTTGACTTCTGTTTTCGCCTTCGGCGCCAGCTTGGCGAAAGTTTCCTCCACGTCTTCTTTTTTGACGGGAAAAGACTCTCTTTTCTGCACTCAAGGAAACCACAATTAGGGTTTTGGGTTTAGGGTTTAGGGTTTAGGGTTTGGGAGCGCTTCGAGACCTGGCCTTCCCCGCTGTCTTTAACCTCCGCCGGAATTCAGAAACAAGGGCTTTCTGGAGCGCCCGCTGCCCCTCCCACCCGCGCCTAGGGTTCCCAGCTAGGGTTTAGGGTTTAGGGTTTAGGGTTTAGGGTTTGCCTGAAAAACAGTCCCCGGCACATCGTCTGCAAACAAAGGGTCCCAAAAAAACCTCTTGGTTTTCCCTTCGTCTTTTTTTCCCACTTTTAAGCCTCCTGCCTTTTTGGCCCCGGGGCCCTTCTTGCCTCCTGAAATAAATAAATAAATACGTAAATAAATAAATAAATAAAT